TATTTTGCTCTAATGTGTTAGGGCATCAAATGCCATCATGGTCACCAGAGCGATTGTCGAGTACCCAATGTCTGCTTACCAATGGCTAGGTACGTCCTGTTTGGAATAATAACTCACATCACCGGTGGTGTCTATCACCCCGGTTCACGTTATTGCTACATCTTGAAAAGCGTGGTTGAGGGCATGCAACTCTGTACTCGCGGCTGGCGGTGCTAATGCTTCGTCGATGACGATAGCAAGAGTGGTCGGTGCCCCTAAGATTTTATATTGGGTGTTCGTTTTTATACTTTACTGTATAGCGCTTACGCACGCTTGCGGTGGCAGACAGCAACCCCATTCTCAAAGTGATCTCATCACAACACTTACTGTAAAATAAAGTTCACATGACTCGTGTAAAGCTTGGGAAACAATGAAGCTGCTCTATCCTAGTGGCTTAGCTTGACGTTGTCGCCTTATGCGAATCTGACGTAAACAGGGTAGAGTCAAACCCATGGCCTGTAACAAACGTTTGAAAATCGCAGCATATTTGCAGAGTGAATGATAATGAGTGTGCGAAGTGTCTGTCAGTCCGTCCGTGCCTCCGTTTGTTTTTCCTTTTGTCCATCCATGAGTTCGTCCATGCGAACGTTCAAGCGGCCGTCCACCTGTGCGTCCATCCGTCCATTCATCCTTTCGTCCGCCTGCCTGCCTGCCTGCCTGCCTGCCTTTCTGTCTGTCTGTCTGTCTGTCTGACAGACAGACAGACAAGATACACTCTGTCTGTCTGTCTGTCTGTCTGTCTGTCTGTCTGTCTGTCTGTCTGCCTGCCTGCCTGCCTGCCTGCCTGCCTGCCTTTCTGTCTGTCTGTCTGTCTGTCTGTCTGTCTGTCTGTCTGTCTGTCTGTCTGTCTGTCTGTCTGTGTGTCTGTCTGTCTAGTCAACACTTTAAGTACCATAATCTCGCATATTTTCATCATGTACTCAATTTGTACAAGTACCAACTTCCAGCGGACATTGCAAGGACCAGACGATAGGTGGCTCCCTACTACTACTACTACTACTACTACTACTACTACTACTACTACACACATCGAGGACGCACAACCCACGGATTAAGAAACGTCGCGCCTAAAAATCTCCTCACTGTAGTGCTAGAAATCCAGGAGCGAAGGGGGCTCCGGCAACTCCAATAGAAGCACAGGAATTCCTTCGCTCATACTCAGCTTGGGCCACGCTGGGCGTATTCGGCACGGCGGGCACGTGGAGTGTCCTTGCGAGTGGGCGTAGCAGGTTGGCGGGCGTACATCGGTGCATGCGCGCCTAACTGACATCAAACACGGGTGATACGCGGTTGTGGCTTGGTTGTCCCTAGGCGAAGAGGCAGTTTTTATTTTTTTTCTCGAAAGACGGATGATTCACCAGGCCGCAGGCACTCGGAAATCTTTGATTCAAGGAACATGCATGCTCGTAGCAGTTGCCGGAAATCCCAAGATTCACTTTAACGAAGTAATGTTGATGTGAGTGCTCGCAATTATTGGCTTTCACAAGTTCTCACGAATGAAAAATTTCGTTTTTGCACAAGGACGAAGCAATTATTGCGACAGCAGAAACTTGGAATGCAACACCAAGAGCTGCTAGTAGATCGAAACGTGCAGCGCACTCTTCATGCAAAAATGACGCTCAAAAACAACACACACAGGACGAGATCTAACTAACAATGTTTGCAATCAGACGCTTAACGCACTGTTTAAACAAAAACGACGCACGAAACGTGATACCAGAAAACTCTAAAAACCAACGAGCACCTCAGTTGTTATTTCGCTGTGTTTGAAAAGCATGCACTTTTCTCAAACGAGGCCTGCCTAGCGAGAGAAGTGGACCTTTGTGGCCCGGGCAACCAACGCAATCATTATGGTGAAAGGCCAAGGCACACGATTTTACACACTGAAGGATAAGCGCAAGCACACAAGCACCTCAAGAATTTCTAGTTCTGCGAAGCTTTTAGCGTTTTCTATAGGCAACATATGAGCACAAGAATTAACACCCATTAAACAGGCAGGTATTTATTCTGCATAAGTACTTATGTAAATTCAGTTCACTGCAAGCCTGACTGTACTAACCGAAGTGCAGTGTCGCTTGACTAATTGGTGAAGGTGGCAGCTAAGCTCCTGTCGGGAAAATGCGTTTCTTGAAAGACTTGAATTCAAGTTGACTAAGCTACATAGTTTTAGTTTTTAACGTGCAGTTCAAATGGTGTCAAGTATGTATAGGCTGCTCCCTGCTGAAGGAAATCTTGCAGTCGAGCTTTGAATATTTCCGAGTTTCTACTTTCAATACTTGCACTCAGATACACGTGATGACCTGAATGGTTCGGAAACCTATTAAAGGGAAAGTTGATGGAGCCAACATTTTGTCAAATGAACTTTTCTTCGTCAAGGCAACGCTGTTACTTTGACTAGGACAACTCAATTTGCCGAAACACTGTTTCCAGCAGCTTTCTTTCTCGGAAAACTTCTGATCCCTTCAAGCCACTCCCTGCCTCTGAATTGCAGTCTCATTTGGAGCTCAAGTTCTGTAAGAAAACTATACGCGCCATCATAGAGAACGTGATTGATTCAAATAAGACGTGCCCTACTCGCGATTGTTGATAATTTTCGCGTAGGTTTGCATATTCTGCGCTTATTGTTTCTCGTTATGTCATTCTATCATTTGTAAATTAAAGCTGCTTTTATAGATTGACACTTTTACACGACGTGTATGCCTGTTTTTTTAGAATACGTTCATTGAAATGGTTTGTTTTATTTGTGCCGATTAAGCTTCGTCTTACTGAGAAATCAGTCAGCTTAGCTATCGCCTCTTCAGAACACACGAACAAATTGAATAAAAATGGTAAACAAAATTTTACGAATGGCCACATCGCCCAAGCGTCCAGGGGACCTAAAAGAAGGCACTGGTGCATTATCTTGCATGCGAAGTGGGAAAGGAGGGCTTCTGCGGCAACCCCCTCTTCTCAATTTTGTTGCGATGGCAATTATATAAACACTCTCGGCTAGATTTTGCCGCTAGCGTCGGAGTCGCCATCACTCATCGCATATGTATACGTATACATATTTATGGAAATAAAGAAAAATATTTCGGAAAATTTCTCTGGCGCGCAGACTCCACCGTGGCTACTTTTATTTGCAAGTGCGACGCGTTAACCGCTAAGACACGAAGGAGCACCTATTACAACGTTCAAACGGCAAGATATAGTTATATCTACCACTTACCGCTGATGATGGGAATCTCAGTGAGAACCAGCATTAGCAACATGATGGCGCAACGAGCCCGTGTCGCCACATCGTCAGGGCGCGGCGGCGTGCGCTCCAGTCTTCTTCGCAAACTTGTCTCCACGGAGAGCGAGCAGGGTGGGCGTTAACGCGCGTGCTTATCTCGTGGTGGATTGATTGCTAGGTATGTTGGGTTTAACATCCCAAAACCACAATATGATTATGAGAGACTGTAGTGGAGGGCTCTGGGAATTTCGACCACCAGGGGTTATTTAACGTGCACCTAAATCTGAGCACACGGACCTACAGCATTTCCGCCTCCATCGAAAACGCAGCCACCACAGTTGGGATTCGATCCCGTGACCTGCGGGTCAGCAGTCGAGTACCTTAGCCACTTGATCACCTCGGCGGGGATATCTCGGAATGGGGACAACCATACGCTTTAGCTGGCCTTAGACTTTCACCGGAAAGATTTTGTTGTAGTTAACAGGCACACAAATGTCACTGCAATCATTACACAGTGTACGTTTGCGAAAAGAGGCGTGCCTTTCAGACAGCGAAGCAACAACTCAGACATTTATTTGCGTTTATCTGTACCCGTGAGCACGTTTCGTGCGTCATTTGTGTGTGAGAAACATGGGAACTTTAGACCTGCTTGCAATTCTGCGCGTGACTTTCCGAATTGTTGCTATCGCATTCAATTCTTAGCCTTTGCGACAAAGCTGTGACTTTTTTGTTCTTTCTCTTTATTTGGTGAACTCAGCAGTGACGTCGTGAAAGAAACTTTTTTCTTTTTTTTTAATAGGATGACCGGCAATCGTCGGAGCTAAAAGTGGCACTGCGCTGTGCATCGAAAATTCATGGGAGGTGTAGGTAATTATCATCCCCTGGTTTCACCTCGAGGTTTCAAAACTTCACTGCTCTAAAGGTGTTCCTACTCAGCACGCCTGAAACCTATATCTAGAAGCTTCTTTTATTGAACCTTCAAAATATCGCTACAATTGGAAGCTTACGTTGCTTCGTGGTCTTCTGAAGTATACGTGCGCCTCGTATTCACTCTTTACAAGTTCACAATGTCGGTAGCTTTAGGTGCATAACTGTGGCCAAATTCTTGGCATGTTCAGGGATCTGCATAGCATGTAAAAGGCGGTACAGCTTCGCCGTGGTGCCTTCCCCCTCTGGTTAGTCGAGTAAAAACAAGAAAACATCTATGATTGCCAAAATGAGGTGATGACATGCCTTTAGCAGCGGTCTGCCTTTGATCGCCAATCAGGGACCAGAGTAAACCATTTTTAGAGTGCGAAATACAGGGAAGAAGGTGCCATTGCAATCGTCAACCTGCATACTACTGGCCTCGCACCTTGAACAATGGCCATAGAGGCCCTACTCAGCAAAGATGTGGTGTAGACTACGCGCCGCTCTTGAATCTTTGGAAGGGTTTGGGGTGGGGGCGGGAGGAAGGAGCCTTTTTTGCTGTGTGAGCACGACTATTGTACGAGACTTGAAGTGGCCCAAGGCCTCCGACTACGCTATTAACCAGCCCTGTATCTCTCCTTACACGTCGTCGAGCCGATGGGTCATTATCTGCAGCACGCACGGTAGAAGCAGGGTGAGGAGAGCACATGCGCATTGCACATGCGCGGTACTTGCGTCCGCATCCAAAAAAGCCATACTGGTGAAAAGGTGAGGGCAGATAATAAGGGGTGTGCGACAAGCCCTGTGGCTTTTTGGTGGCCGGGGAGCGATGGGATGCGGGGTCGCTCGCGCTATAGGAGCGAAGAGTGTTTCCTCTGTGCGTGCTACAGTGGCGAAGCCTCGCCGGTTTTGGGGGCGTCGTACGTAAGGTGAGTCGATGGCTCGTATTCTACGGCAACTTGCGCGCGAGTTTTATTTTTTGCTGTTATGTTTCGTGCTGACGTTCCTACCGTTCTTTCACTACGTATGTTGGATTGGCCGCAAGTCTACGGAGATTGTTCCCTCCAAGTTTTTGGTCCTCCTATGTGCGTTAGTGCCGTGTTGAGCCGGTTCGGAAGGCTCTTCGTGATTATTTTGAGTCGCCTATTAAGAACGGCGCTTGTTCTCAGCGTTGCTGGCTTAACTCTGAGAATTTCGGCTCACTGACCCCACTGAACGATGGCGGTGCCTTCAACGTTTATACAGCAAGCCGCTATTTTTTTAACAGATCACTTCAGTCATTCCGGCACTCCAACACCTTTGCATATACCGACCGCCTTGCCGCAGAGCTTCAAACCCGATACCATTGTAACCAGGGTTCAGCAATTTTAAGCAGTACCACCAAATATACGCCCAATATACACCCGCAATGCCCGCGTGGCAGTGCCTGCCACTTCTGCGTAAGTGCAAAGTAGAGTCTTCGCCTTTACTCACTAAATTAGAAAAAATAGACAATGCCAATAAATTCTCCTTTACAAAACAGAACGTTCCGTTACTTTTATTGGGTATGACTAAAACACATTTATAAAGGAATTATAGAAATCGCGGCGACAGGCACAAAGGATTCCCAAAATAGATGTAATGCCTATTTTTATGAGCTCACTTGTGGTACCATCTGGCGAAATTGAGAGATGGTGTTGACGAGTTGCTTTTGTAGTGCTTGTTTGCATTAACGATGCCGTACAGTGCATTTCACGAACTACTGCTGCGAACTTTGCGAACCATTAACGAGATTGAAGATATGTGTTTGCTTTGAACAATACTACGGCGTGGTTTCCAGATAAACAGCTTACTCAATTTCGATGAAATTGGCCCCACGAGGTTTTACCACTCAAAAAAAAGATACCTTGCTGATATTACGACGGAAGAGGTTGTAGGCGCTCGACAGGTTCAAGTTTCAGGTCGGGGGGTGCTCTGCATGACATTGTGGCTTATACCTTAACCCAATCGTCGCTGTGATCAAGACCTCTTCCATGGGCGGCACAGCTCGATGATATAAAGCGTGGTGCGAAAGATCTTTGCCCATATTGAGTACTCCGTGCGGACCTAACAGTGCACAAGTGGCTAAAATAAATATCCCATTTTCTACAATACCTTTTTTCATGTAAGGAGGCGGGCTGTTGCTGTCACCAGCACTGTACGACTGCCTTTAGTGCTCTAATTAGGCTTCACCGCTATACATATCTGTGCTCCAGTAAAGGCCGTGAAATGGAATTCGTCATTACGATGGAAAAATTGAACCCTGGCAATAATTTTCATAGCACACCAAGCACAATTTAGGAAATGAGTTTCCTAAACTAACTGGTGGTAACTCTGGCGCTACGATCGCTTAGCGACCATGGGAATCATTAGTACACGAATTTGCCTAGTCTTCGTACTTGCGTCAAAGAAGGAACTTTCTTCAGCTTTGTTGCCCGATTTGAAGTGGTGATCCTCAAGAATAACATGGTGGAGCACAACCGCTCAACATTTGCTGATTTTTGTTTTCGTGACGAAGCAGCTTCAAGCCACGCGAATGTAAACGGAGGCAGAAAATGATTAGGTAAATTAATTTGCTAAACCATCAGTTTCATGCTCCCTAAACGCCATGCGTAGCAGCTTTTATTAATTTTAGCGCCAGAGTTCCCTCCCTTCCCAATGTACTTATTGGGAACGCTGATTTAACCACCCCTAAATCCTCCAACTGTCCTGACAACACCGCCTCCAAAATACACAAATCTCAGATTTATCAGTAATGTGATCTGTGCCTTTACCGTCAATTCTATTGATATATTCAGGTATTCATTGAAATAAACAACAGAAACATCCCCTTGAGCCTGTTTATTACCAACACTGTGAAAAGTTATTTCTGTGAACCAGACACCCCCTTCTTAAATTTTTTTATCTCAACATGTACACGCTCCCGGGCAGCAGGAACCTCACGGTGGAGGCAGTCTCGTAACAACTGTACTGTGAAAATCCTTATAAATATTGCTTCCTTGCTGTACAAATTCCATTTGACATGCTTACCTGACTTTCCTACTCAACTAGACAATTAGTGGCTACAGCCACAAATTTGTTCAAGCAGTTTTCAGAGAGAGTTAATTTCAGTGAAAAACAAAGCGTACCACTGTTGTGCTGGTGGGTCGCCTGCCTTTCAAGGTTGGCACCATTGTCTGCAGTTTACTCTATTACTTCAGAGACAGTAGGATCGGGCGCGTTGGTATAACATGATAAAGATTAGCTAAGCTAGGTATCGCAAAATCTTGCTTCGAGAACACCTTGCGAAAATCATGTGTGCACAAGATTACCAAAAGCTTTGTTGAACAATCTTCAAGGCTGACGTCGGCTGGTTACCCCGACCACGTGCAAATTTCCGTTGCCGAAGGCCTGCTGCGTGAACTTCAGTCCAAATAGAACGATAACGTATTCCAACCTGCCGCAGAATGACTTTCGCCGTGGTTCCGTATATGCACAAGATTGCGCACAACGTTAAGAAAGTGGCACAGAAAGCTAATATGAAGGTGGTCCTTATGGCCACTCAAAAATTGTGTCACCTGAGCAAGCTGTTCATTCTTCCGTCTAAACCCACCCTCGGCTGCACTACAAAACATGTAAATAAATTTAGATCCCATATGTAATGTGGTGTATTAGCTGCTGTTATCGCGTGGAAGGTATTACGCCGGTCAAACAGGTCGTTGTATAAATGAGAAACTGAAGAAATATATGTACAATGTGGATCATTGAAAACAAGGATGGCTGTTCATTCACTGCAGCACGTGTCTGCCGTTCACTGCAGCACGTGTCTGCCGGTCGATGTTTTCAGAGTGTACTACTGTGTCAAGATGCAGGAATAACGCCACACGCGAGATCGTAGAGGAAGAAAAGATATGCTCATTGAAAGATTTTTTTTATTTATTTACACTCGTATCTACAGCGCCATTTAGGCATTACAGTAGAGGTTTACACAGAATTTATAAACCGTATCATTCAAGAACTTTGGTAGGGAAAAACTAAGGAGATATAGTGGCATACATTGTTGTCAATACACATGAATTACGTAAAGATCAGCTAACTCAGACGAAGAGAGAAAATTAAAATGAAATTTATATTATACAAACATAAAAAATACAAAAACGATGTGATAAGAACTAAACACTGCATAAAGTTTGACTGCAGCTGAAGATACAAAGATATTGTTACGTGATTTCGTCTGACTGAAAGAGGGCATAGTGGGGCATACCCAAGTAAGGTGCCTCGGACTGAGAGAAAAGAAGTGGACGTTGTGAGTGAGCTGCGTTGTGGCTGCGGACCGACAACTGTTATTTTCCACGTAACATTTTGGTGGAAGTGCTGGGTGCTCTTCTGACAACGGAGCTACGCAGTGGACGCCTCCTTAAGTCTGCTACCATGGCTCCGGGTGAGGATACGGCTTCGCCACCTACCTCAGCAACGACAGCAACCCGGTACGTCGCCCTAACGCAACCCCGTGATCCCGGTACCTTTACTGGAGAGGACAACGTGAATGTGGACAAGTGGCTTAGCATGTACGAGCGCATCAGCAAGCAATATGGCTGGGACCCAACCGTTATGCTTGCGAATGTCATTTTCTATCTTGACAAGACCCCTCGCACCTGGTTTGAGACCCACGAGCACGAAATCACAAGCTGGGAAATGTTTAAACAACAGCTCTGCGACCTTTTTGGCAACCCGTTTGGTCAACAACTTGATGCCCGAAAGCAATTGGCTGTCCGTACACAGACGTCCACTCAGCCCTACTTGACTTATATTCAAGACGTCTTAGCGTTGTGTCAAAGGGCAGATCCCAACATGACTGAGGCCGACAAGATTTCGCACGTGTTAAAAGGAATCGCCGACGATGCGTTCAGTCTACTTGTATTCACCAACGTAACGACCATGGACGCAGTGATCAAAGAGTGCCGCCGTCTCGAGCAGGCGAAGAGTCGACGCATTTTGCAGCAGTTTCAGCGCCTACCCAACACCGCGGCAACGTCGTCTTGCGAAGCCACTCCTTGTCATCCGTCTACAACCGACGACGTGACGCGCATAGTCCGACGTGAACTCGAGGCCGCTTACCCGGCTGCCAACAAACCGACGTTGCCCGACGCCTCAACGCCAGCTGTCGCCTTGATCCAGGCTGTTGTCAGCCAGGAATTTGCTAACCTTGGTATCCTGTTCACTGCATCCACACTGGATAATACTGGCCCCTCGATAGCTTCTGTGGACATGAGACGTCGCCGTCCGTACTCTATCCGAACCAGGAACCCGTCTGAATGGCGAACAGCTGATGATAAGCCAATTTGCTTCCGCTGTGGTCGCGCAGGACACATCGCTCGTTACTGCCGCAGCCAATGGCCATCTATGTCTTCTGGCTCGTACTCCGCTTACAGTAACTCATTCCGTCCACCAAACCACCGTTATCTGACCTGCACCGAGTCAACAGCATTTACTGCCCCTGAGGACTACGGCCACCATGCCCCGTCGTCGCCACCGCCTCAAAGCCGCCCTTCTCGTTCAAACACGCGTCGCCGCTCTCCCTCGCCATCGTTCAACCGCCGCGCGTCCCCGGAAAACTAGGCTGCGCAGCTTCTCGAGGTGAAGCTGCCCTGTCGACCTTACCCAAAAATCCTCTGTTGCCCTTACGTTTGAACCGGAACACCCTAGAAGTATATGTTGATGGTACACCTGTTGAAGCTTTGATAGATACGGGCGCTCACGTCTGTATTATGAGTTCGCGTTTTCGTCGTCGCATGAAGAAGGTCCTCACGCCCCCCTTGACCAGTGTCGTCCAAGTTGCAGATGGTGCAAAAGTCCCTGTCGTCGGTATGTGCACAGCTCAACTTACCGTAGCCGGTCATCAAGTGGTCGTCCTTTTTACCGTGCTTGAAAC